TACATATATTTGCATAACCAGAATGAAAATACTACAAAATCCATGAAATTGTTAACTTTGCATTCAAAATGCTCTATTATATAGCTCATTTTGCTTGAATTTAACATGCAAAATTGTATTTCTTGGATTATGCAATAGTAAATCCATGTCGAACATAACAGCAATCATTACAACAGAACTTTGAATGAAAAAGTTGTCAGTGTTTAAATGATTACAATGCTATGCGAGTTTCAAAGATACCTTTCAGATCAGCTAAAATGTCCATTGTATACCAGCTGTATGTATTTTGTTATTAAACTATGGTTTACATACAAGAGCTACTTTGTACTTGGAAATAGCAATAAACAAGAAGTGTATTCAAACTTTCTGAGTTAAATTCTCTCAAGAATCTTAAAATCTCTTGATATGGGAACCCTTTTTTGATAAAACCAATGAATTGTTTAGAGTGACTGCTGTGATTGGTACAAGTCTCTATTTCAATATCAGGCGAGAGAGCTTGCGTTTCTGAGTCAGGTTTGATAAAAAAAACACTTTTATATGCAGGAGTTGTCAGGTTGTCCAAGAAGATTAGCTTCCCCCTTATCTGATCTCTGAATGAAATAAAATCTTAATTTCAACACAACAATACACATAGAAATTTTTTTTGGTGTCATCAATTTTTATTCATCTTAGTGTATGCTGGGCTTTTGCTGGATATTTTTGAGATGATGCATCGTGAACAATTCGGTCTGAGTCCATGATAGCAAGACAGTTATGGTGTTGTGTATCCCCCTGATTTGCTTGTTTTGTATTGAATACCATTTAGGAATTTCCACTGTCAAACTTTTCAAGAGTTGTGACCCCTCCTTGTTGAGGTTGGCCACCATTGAGACGTCACACCTCACCAATATGTGTCAGCCTCCGATGTGGGCAGAAAGGTCCAGAAGGGTGTCTTCAACTAATTCCAGTTGATGTGTTGATGTGAGTGGTATTCCAGAGACCCTGAGACTTGAGAACTAGTAGGTCTGTTCTTTTACTACAAGCCTTAACAGAAATTGGTTTGCTCTGGGTGCATTGGTATGTGTAGGTACAAGTCCTTGAGGTGCAGGGCCGCCAAAAATAGTGTTTGAGATACTTCTTGATATAGCTCATGCAGTAACCATTTTGAGCAACTTTAGGTCAACTGAGAAGTTCAAGGGTAACAATTTTACTACTTGTCTTAGCTCGCCTGAAACACATCTATATAGAAAACAGGCTCAGTTACAAGTCAGAGGAATATTGACCCTTTAGCTAGTAGGCAGGATATTTTTATATCGCCTTTGCTTTCACCTGATCTCTTAGTAACATCCTGTAAGGGGCATCAATGTCAAGGTTGGTGGTGCAGTATGTTGATTGTTCTTTCAATAAAATATTTAGATCACATTACAGTTTTACAGAACATTTGAAAATAACAGAATTAATTTAATGAAAAAAACACAATAGAATGGATTATACCGGTACATAATAGTAATGGTAGATTGGTATTTGAAGATTTGCTGTTGGGATATCTGGCAACTCCATGGAAGTTTCACAATCGACAGAGAGGATAGTGGTGCAACCGGTGAGAGACATTGATCGACCTAGTCTGATCACCTGAAGCTGGTGCTGTCACACTAGTGTTAACAGATTCCAGGTTGACAGATGATGGAGACCTGAAAGCAGGCATTTCAATTCAGCCAAAATCCAACTTGGGTACTTGGTCATCTTCGGACAGGACTGGAGAAACCACTGTGTGATAGCTGCCGTGGTCTCCCTGCATTTTGTCCTAATCGAGCAGTCAAATCACAATCAGGCAATGGATGTCTTTACGCCTAGCAACACGACGGTAGATTACCACAATTTATACAATGAGAGTAATGCTCACACTCAACACAGGTATAACACACAGGACGCACACTGTCATTACACAGTCCAAACATTTTCAGTAATTTCGCTGAAACTTCCCAACTAACGATGTGTAGGGCATCTTTAAATTCACAACTGACCAATTTAAACAGGTAAAAAAATTCTTACGAACTTTGTCACTGAATGGGTGTTGACATAACTGGTGAACATGGGCACCAGGGGTCACTGGCTGGTAGTAGACCCACTTTGTCTCTAATTTAGATATCTAACTTAAACAAATATTCAGCAATCAGCAAATAATTAAGCACTTTACGTATGTATTGAAGTGATTCTGCTATAAGGAAAACACACAGAATGACTAAAAATTAGGACAATTTTGAAGGAATCGGCTGTTATTAAGGCTGAAAATTTGTAGTTGACATAAGTAGAAATAAGGTAGACCATATCAATACCTTATTTGCTCCATTAGAAGTGAACTTAAAGCACTACAATAATTGTGCAATGTCGTGTTCG